TACTGTATATTTGATATGTAATATAGCAATAAAACTCGGAAAACTAAATTTTTGTTTTAATATTTTTAAAATAAGTAATTATTAGTATTTTGTTTGAAAATAACACCCTTCTATATTTTTCTTTTTCCTCTTAATGTAATAATAAATTATTTCATATCAYAAATGTGTAACCAATATGAACCTTTATTTTACCAATATGATCTTTATGTGAAATTTTATATTTCGGTATTAGGGAATAAAAACAAATATATGTAATTACTATCGAATATCACTTTAKTGTTTTTCAAAATTTTCTCCATTAAGTTCTATACACTTTAGATGCGTTTGAACCAATTCTCCAAGCACTTTTGCCACTTTGATTAAGGTATCTCCAAAACATGTATTCTGCCACATCAGCCGCCTCTCCAGGTGTCGAACTCTTACTTTAAGTACATGAATGAAAAGAAGTCTGAGTTTTGAAGTTTGTCATAGATGTATTTCGAAGCATTGTGATCGTGTCTGTTGAATCTGATTTCGAGCACGCAAGTTTTCAAAAACTGAATCGCCGAAAGAATTACTGCAATCAACTTAACAATAAAGAGATGAATGTAGATGCAAGGAATTTCGAAATTTGCTAAACCTTTCAAGCAAAATTTATATGAATTATATTAAATTAAATGTTTTATGCTTGAGTGTGAACATGGCATTAGTATTTAACTGCAGAATTCCTCTAAATATAAAATATATTTTCTGCCCCTCAACCAAAAATTAAAAAGAGCCATTCAATTTTTGTTTTCCTTTCAAACATTTCTCTTTATTCTTTTAATTTCATAGTTTATTACTTTTTATATATACTTTGTATGTGAGTTGTAGACTAATATATGTACTGCATACAATTGGAAATACACTATTCACTGCTACTGGAACTTTCATATGCATTTACAATGATGGTGTATTGTTTTTACAGGCTGCAATTACTTTAATTTAATTTTTTTTTTTTGTTTTGGATTTTGCTTTGTGCTTTCAAGTATATGTATGTATATATTATATTTATGTATATATGTATTAAGTTTTCTTACACTTTTGCTGATTATATGCAAGTATTATGTACTTTTATAATATTAGCAATTGAAATTAATAACTATAAATATTTTGTTCGTGTGTGGCTGGGAGCAAGAAAATACACATAAAATACACATTTAATAATGTTTTCGAGAACTCGCTGAGCTTTTCAAATTTTAATTTAGCTGCAAACCAGTATTTAATATGTTTTATGTTTAAATGTTTACAGTTAGCTTATATGTTTCAGTTATGTTGTTATTATTGCATAATTTTGATGCGCTTAATGAACTTGTAAGTTAATTATTTGGTTAATTTTCTGTTTACACTTTTCGTAATTTAAACTTTTATATAGTATATGCCTTAAGATGTTATAAATCAAGTTTATTTTTTTTTTTTATTTTGTTGGTACACATGTGATATTTTTTAAGTTCAAATAATTTATAATTTTTAAGCTGCATATTAATTTTTTTGTTTTAATTTTAGCTAAT